AAATTTTATTTGAAACGAGAGAAATTTTATATGGCAAATTTTTTTTTGCAAAGTTTGAGAAAGAAGATGACACAAGGCAGTTGCTGAAGTGTATTTTTGTAAAAAAGATAGAATAGTCATAATAAATAGAAACTCTAACATTATTAAAGAGGGACTTAGATAAAAAAAAAAAACATAGAGGATAAATGATAAAAAATAGAATATAAGGGGATGAATAATTCAAAGACAAACCATAGGATGTTATTTAAACTTTTTCCTTAAAAAAATAATTATACTCAGTCTTTCTCCGAAGATGTTTGTTTTTATTTTGTCCCTTTTATTTGTTTTATGTTCCCGAAAGCTTCTTAACTTGTGTGTCACTCATTCTCTCAAGCTACTAAAATTTCCTTGAAATATGTACTTTGAAACCGAAATTTTAAGAATTGAGTTTATTTATTTATTGGTGTGTAAGTTGTTCGCACGTAGAAATTCATTCCAATAGTTAGATTTAAATAAATTTGACTAATTTTGATTTTAATTATTTGATTTGAATTTAGTTTTATTAATTTAAACATTTTATCTATTCTAAGAAACGGATAATAAAATAAAATCATTAAAATAAGTTAAAATGTATTTATTTTTAAGGTGTTCCAAATATAAAATTATTTTACAAATCAATTCATATGATATCTTCTTAATTAGTTTTTTGATAAGGATTTTTTAATCAAATCAAATTAATACAAGTGAAACTAAATTAGCAAGTATTATGTGTATTACGTGGGTAAAGGGTGAAAATGAGCTTCATTGCTCATAGGGATAAAGTATGATGATGTAATAGTGATATTGGCCTATTGGGCATTTACACTTCTAATCTTGGGCATAGTGGCTCAGCCTTACACAACCAAACCCCAATTCTTCAATGGCAAAATAAGGGTATATACAAATAAGAGGAAATACTCTTTTTGGTCCTCAGTAAATTTTATGATGTCCGCTTTAGGCCCTAATAAATAAAAAGGTTATTCGTGGTCCTTAAGAAATTTAAAGTGAACCCATTTTAGTCATTTTGAGGAATTAATATGGGTCTTTTTTGAATTTGAGAAGAACTAATATTTTAACTAAATAGATCCATTTTAAATTTCTTAAAGACCACGAATAACTTTTTCATTTGCTAGGAATTAAAGCGGGTATTCTAAAATTTGCTGAGAATCAAAAATAATATTTACTCTGCAAATAAAATTCTCTACTGACGAGTGAAAGATGACTCATGATCGTTTCTAATGTTGTGAGGTCCACTAGGTGTACCTAGTGCATGAAGTACGTGTGCATGAGAAGTGAAATTTAATATGATAAAATAATATTTATCTCACCTTAAAGATGCAGGAATATAACCATTGGGCCTTTGTAGGCTGTAGCCGATCCACAATATGGGTATTATAAATTTAAGTAAAACTTAAAAGGTAGAAATTAAAATAAAAAAATTTAAAATTATAAAAGATATTCCATTATCAAGAGATAGAGTTTTAAAATTATAAGTAAAATATGCATAAATAATTTAAAAGCATATAAATTTAAAAGAAAAAAGGTTAAAATAACATTTGTCATACTTTAAGAGAGAGTGGACTATGAGGTCGTTTGTTTCAACTTTAAAAAAGAGTAATTTTTATCACTTCCTTATTTTAAAAGTACTTTTGACAAAAGTTAAAGCTATTTATATTTTTATAAAAATATTTAGTTTTTGAAAAAAATATTTGGCTTTTGACTTCTTCTTTTCTTAGAAGTTAAAATTCTTAGCTTCTGAAAAAAGTAAGTTTTTGACTTTTTTGGTGACTTCTACTTTTTTTAAAAGCAGACATCCAAACGAACTAAAAACGAGAAGTGCTTTTTTTCTTGAAAAAAAACAGTTTTTGAAAAAAAAAAGCTCATCCAAACGGGCCCTAAGTAAGATTTGAAGTCATTTTCAAAACGGAGTATAGTGTACTATAATTTAAGGGTTTAATTTTTTTATATTATAAGAAATAAAATTATTTTCTATATATTTATAAAAAAAATCTCTTATAGACCTTTTTATGTGTGCGAGGGCTATGTTTTATTATCTCTCTTATCCTTACATGACCCCACATACTTTTATGTCTGTGTGTTGGAGATAATTTTATTTCTGATAAAATAAAAAAACATTAAACCCATAGTTTAATATATAAAAATAGAGTAACTAAGATTTAGGGATAAAATCAAATTTTAATCTACAAAAAATTAAAAGAATTGAATTAAAACTAAAAGTATCAGTAACAGTAACAAAAAAAAAGGAATTTTAAAAATTTAAAATTAACAAATTTAAGTATTCAAATAATTGATATTTGGTAAGAATGAAATATTTCAACGTAAAAATAAAAATTTAAAAGTAATTAATAACTTTTTTTTTGTAAAAATAAATAAATATAGTTAACCACAATAAAGTCATCTACCTTAAGGAGCGGAGAATACAATAAACAATATTTATTATGAAAAATGATGACTCAATTTGAGGTAGATTAAATTAATTTCATAATCCAACATTCCAATCGTAATCTTCAAACTTTTGTAAGAAAAATTCAATCGCAGTCACCAAAAGAAATTAGTTTCTATAAGATTTAATTTAAGTCATTAACAATATATTGTATTTGGTCGTTAATAATATAATTTTTTTTATTTGTGAACTATATAGTGTATCTGTTAAAAAATCTTTAATTATAGTAATAATGTAACTTTTTATGTTTCTCATATCATATAATTTTCTACATTGAACATAAGTCAATTTTTGTTTAATATTTTGGTAAATGGTTGTACAAACATGGGGGACAACTACTAAAGTGTCACACCTTTTATAAAAAATTACCTGAATACCACATTTAATAATTTTTTTTCTTTTCAAAATGTCATGTCACCTAACTCGTTACAACACCTTGTGAGTTAGGTGTTGACACATGACAGAAGGTGCATCGCCACGTAAGTCATTGCGCAGTACAACAAGATTACGTGGCATCAAACATGTTATGCAGCATAACAGGTTTAGTTAGCTTATGACACATGACAAACGTGCTATGCAACATAGCATGTTACGTGTGTGTCATAAAATAATTTAAATTAATATAAAATTAAACTAAAATAATTAACAAACATAAATTACATTTAATTCATTAACACTCCTAAATTAAATTACATTACTTAACGGTTAAAAAAAATTAAGTTAAACTAAATCAAATGAAATTAATTAACATTCCTATAAATAATTGATTAATAGTTATAAAATAATTTAAATTAATATAGACTGAATTAAACTAAAATAATCAACAAACAAAAGTTACATTTAATTCATTAACACTCCTTAATTAAATTAAATTACTTAACCGTTCAAAAAAAATTAACATAACTTAAAACTAAATTAAATGAAACTAATTAACGCCCATAAAAATAATTAATTAATAGTTATGAAATAATTTAAATTAATTAATTCAATCTATATTAATTTAAATTATTTTATAACTATTAATTAATTATTTTTAGGGGCGTTAATTAATTTCAAGACACACACGTAAACTACTATGCTGCATAGTATGTTTGTTACGTGTCAGAAGCTGACTAAACAATGTGCTGCGTAGCATATTTGACGTCACGTAACGTGATCATGCACCTTTTGCCATGTGTCAACATTTAACTTGTCAGGTATTATAACGAGTTAGGTGACTTCACATTTTAGAAAAGAAATTACAAAGTGTGGCGTTCAGATATTTTTTACAACAAGTGTGTCACTTTGATCATGATCCCCAAACCTGGTTGTAAAAGACTAGTAGTAGCATGAGGTTTAGCATGGGCCATGCCATGTATAAGTTATTATATGTACAGCCAATCATTGGGGATAAACTCTGATTGACTTTGCGCCCGCATGACTTTTACAACATCAAAGACAGTGAAATTCAAATTGAATAATTTAATTTTCTCCTAATGCCATTGTCAACCTTCCTTCAAAATTGCCCCAAACGCTGTTTAACCACCTTTTATGTCTGTCTTTATCTCCAATTTTCTCTCTTGCAGAAGATGATTATGTGAAATTATGATTTGGCATCAATGGGGCATTTCAAAAGTACATTACTTTGATTAATCAATCAACCCCAAGGAAAGAAAATAATATTGAAAACCGACCAACTAGAATTAACAAAATTTTAAAGCCAAAATTCTAAATGCCTTATTGGTTTAAGGGGAAAAAAGGGTGGCACACTCGATTGGTCATTACAATAATTTCCCAACAAAATTAAGTGGAGTTGCACGACTAAAAAGTCTACATAGCCCCTTTAGTTCACACCCACTTCTTTTCATCATTTAAGCTTAGCTTTACTCCAATTGCCATTTGTCCAATTTTTTTAATATGAACAACTCATTTTGCTCGTTGAATTTATCATCTATAGGCTGGCTTCCATACGTATATCATGTGCTTTAATTTTCCATTCAAAACGTTGACTTCACTTGTTTCTTTGACTTCAAATTAAACGATAAAACCCTTTTCACGCTCACATTATTTTTTCTGATTGCTTCAATATCTCACTTTTATAATTGAAGATAGCAATTAAAGGGAGGATTCGATATCACAAATACCCTTTTGAATTTTGATTTTCAAACAACTGTCTTATAATTTTAATCTTTAGGACAGTTGATTCAGGAGCTCGTTTTTTTTTATTGAATTCTTTTTTTAAACACGTTTACATTTTGAAAAAATCTTGACACTAAAAATCACATACGATTTCAATTATTTCGCATGCTAAGGATCATTATCTTCTAAAATAAGAGATAATTACATTTTAAAAAAATCTCCTTTTACTTTTTTTTAAGATTACATTCAAGGGATTTGATCACTTACCTTTTTTTAAGGAAACTATACCTATCTTAATCAACGGTTATATTTAACATTAAAAACTTTTTATTATCAAATAATCATTCAATATATGCTTGACAACTGGTATGTAGAAATTCCTTTGTACAACATATACCATCCCAAATCAAGCACTCCCCAGGCAACCCTATCTTTACCCTTATTCAACCCTAATCCAACTTCACAGCCCACAAAAAAGGGAAAATTCAAAATGATGACAGGGTCCTGCACCAAATTAACATATAAACAGTAAAAAAAGGGATGAATCAAATTACAAAAACTGACACATGAACGTATTTTTATCATAAAAAGGACAATTTTGACTATGAGCAACAAGCACAGTCATCATTTTCGTCATCATCATCAACAATCTCATCAAAGAAAGGATCTTTGAGAAGATCAGCAGCAGAAGGTCTAGCCCTTGGCTGAGCAAGACACTTCTCAATGAAGGCCTTCACCTCTTGATCTTTGACCTTGTTCAAGGCCAAAGGTCTCACTCCAGAAGACACCTTCCTGTATATCTTGGCAACATTGTCACACTCACTATAAGGAATCTCCAGTGTCACCATCTCTAACACACACATCCCAAATGAATATATGTCCACAATTTCTGTGTAGTCTTCCTCATATAATTCTGGAGCCATAAATTCTGGTGTACCAAGAATCGAGTGTGCACAATGGTTCTTTCCCACAATTGCAGCCAAACCCAAGTCACCAATCTTAACCTAACAACCATGGAAAAAAAAGAAGAAAAAAATCATTAATAAAACATCATAATTGCACAAGATTGTTCTGATATAAACATCAAGAGTTGATAAACACGAATACTAGGTGGAAAGCAATATACTCAATGATAAGAGCATAATCTATAAATAATATAATTTGAATATTTTTGCCTAGCTATTAGGAGACACCATGACTTGCTGAAGTTAGATACTTAGATCTCACACAAAAGGTACCAAGTCAAAGCAAATTTGATAAAAATGAATAATGAATAAAAAAGTTCAAATTTTTCTTGTTTTTATCTGATTGCAAAGATGTGAATGAAAGAAAAACAAAAATTGAATTAAATCGCTACCTGGCCAGTATTTCCATTGACAAACACATTACTGCAATTGAGATCTCTATGGATGATACAGGGATCATGCATATGCATATAATTCAGCCCTTTCAAAATCTGCTTAGACCACTTCTTCAGGGCCTTTAAGGAAACATGCCTATGCTTTTTCCGGTACTCCCTCAAATTCCCACTGGTACAGACCTCAGTGATGAAATTAAGAGTGTTACGTTGTCCATCCCTCCACACCTTGTAAAGGGAAATGATGTTTTTGTTGGTCAAGCTTCTGAGTAACCTCACTTCAGAGTAAAGCCTATCCACCATTGCAGGGTCATCAGAGAAATTCCTGAGCTTAACTTGATTCCAAGCCACCTCTATTCCTTCCTCTTGATCAAATGCACGGTACACTTTTTTCACAGCACCAGATCCAAGTAATTCACTGTATCGACCATAGCGGCCAGTTGGATCAGTTTCAACAAATGGCTCAGAATCTTTGTCAGATGGGTCTGGGTTAACACTCGGCATCTGTGACCAAAATGAACACAAACATTCAACAACGATCAGAGGCTGAGCATAACCAAAATCAAATAAACTTAAAATTATAAAAAGAACTATTTCTAGAAGAACAAATTCATCATGTCACTAAATTTTGTAGGAGAAAAACGAACCAAATAAAAATAACCCCATTAAAGTTAATCAATGAAAAATAAAACAAAAAAATTCAGGGAAAAAAAGAAGAGCAAACCAGTGCTTGTGATGTGTGGGGTATTGTATACATGTGAACTCATATCAAAATCCAAGAGGGAAATAGCAAGTAAAACCGAAAAAGCAAAAAAGACTTCAAATTTGATGGCTTATGTGAATATTTGACAAATTTAACAAAAGAATATTTGATGATTACCATGAACAGAACCGAATGCTTGACCCTTAAGAACAGAAAACCAAAGTCTGAAACTTTCGGCAGAAAAGAGAAGCTGACGAAGCTCCTACCTGGAAAAAAGTAGAAAGAGACACAGAAAAAGAAGAGATAGAGCCAACCTATCTTTTTATACTGAAATCAAGGAGCGGCTCTTAAAAGTTATTTAGTTCGAGAGATAAATTATCCTATCTATTTTTTTTTATATCGTTAAATCAGAATTTAAAGAGAAGAGGAAAATAACTTATCTCTTAATTCAGAGGGGAAATATATTGTAACAATCAAGTTGTATTACTATCATGTTATTATCAATCATTCTTACCGTTAGATCGATTATGTGGATTCAACGATTATATTTATTTCTATCTTTGTATGATCATGATTTTCCAAATTTAATATTTTATATTTATTTTCACCTTTGTATGGTTATGATTTCAACCTTGGTAGTAATACCACTTAGTTGTTACAATATCCTTCCCCTAATTCGGATCATAAAATCTCAACCGATTTCTAAGTTTTTTTTTTTTGGAAAAGAATTCTCATGTTATAGTAGAATTTTTTCTCCTATTAGTGATACATCGAAATGTGTGCAATAATTTTTTATTTTTGTTCTTTAATAAGAGGTGGGACCTATTACATCCTATGTCTATAGAAGGAGAAAGAATTTTCCTACAATATGAGAAAAGATGAATTCTTTTTTTTATAAAATGGAAAGAAATATTGGTAACTTTTATTGAAAAACATTTTTTTAATTGTGTAATAAAAACATTAATTAAATCCCAAGATTAATGCTTTGGAAACAGGAAGTAAGCATTTTTATTTAAATCACGCGTCGTTGAATTTTCGTTGTAGTGCTTTATGATGTATACACGTTTAATTATAATAATGACATGTTTTTGTTAAGGAATGTGTATACTTCTTTCTTCTTTTTGTTTTGAACAAAGTCAAATCCTGGAAAGTTGGAAATATTGGTAAACAAAGTCGTCCTAGTAATTTTTATTTTATCCTTTGCGGGTCCACGTGTGTTACCATGGTCTGCGCTTGAGGCTGCAAATGCAAACATGGTGGGACCATGTTTAGTTGCTTGTAACTTTCCAGCTAATAGGGAAGTGTTTGCCTTCTTGGAAAATGTAAGCATAAGAAAGAGAAAAAAAAAAAAAAAAAGGTTGTGAATTTTGTAGCTGAAGAATCACATTCTATAACGAGAATCTAGTAAAGAGAAAAGATTGAGGCGAGAAAAATGGAAATAATTTTTAAAAATATCTTTTATTCACATCCATGATTTTTACAATATTTTTTAGGGGAGGTACCTTTTTTTCTTACTAATTTTTACTACCAAATTTTAACTTTTGATTTTTCTCAATCTAATAAATATTTATTAGATCACATTTATTAATTAATTATTAATTTTTAATAATTTATAATTATTAGATTGACGAAAATCAACGGTTAAGATTTAATAGAAAAAGATAATAAGAATAAGAGATAGTAAATATAATCTCTTCCTATTTTTTATACAAAATTGAGGCAAGAAATATGGTTTTTTCACCCTTTTGTCCCTTATTAATTAATTAATAACCATTTTGTCCCTGATTCGAAACTATCTACCAATCTGCCCCTTTTTTAATCGACTACCTTGCATTTTTAATCGACTAAATGGCCAAAACATGCAAAAATGGTTGTTGGGAGATTTAATCGACTAAATCTCCCTATTTAGTCGACTAAATCTCCCAACAGACAACAAAGGAAAACAAGTTAGTATGATTTTTTAATCGATTAAGTAGGAAGAGTTAGTCGGTTAAATCTCCCAACAGCCATTTAGTCGATTAAAAATGCAAGGTAGTCGATTAAAGAAGGGGAGATTGGTAGATAGTTTCGAATCAGGAGCAAAATGATTATTAATTAATTAATGAGGGATAAAATAGTCAAATAGCCCAAGAAATATTTGATAGGTGATTTTGATAAACAAATTTATAGATAGTGAGTTAACCTTTACCATAACAACGGAGCAACATAAATAGGAGTGAATCACTACTTATTTTATTTTTAAGATTGTGAAATAACTTTTCATAACTAATTTTTTTTCAAAATTTGAGTTACTGTTATACAAAATTACTCAATAAAATAAGGGTTCGGATCCTCTAATTTATTTTTCAAATGTTTGTATTTTTATTAAAATATAAACTAATGAATTTTGTGATGACGCACTTTCTTTTAAAAAAAAAATCCAATAATTTAAGGGTTAACTAAAAAAAAGCAACGCAATCCACATGTCTTTCTTAATTTTTTTATTAGAGTTATGATTATAAACTAACAAAATCGCATGTGATGTATTATGATATAATTTGCATTTTGAAAACAAAGCGTAAATCTATGTATTATTAGATTTATTGTTTCTCATATTATAGAAGATAAATTTATCATACGGGTTTGGTGTTTGTCATTTTAAATGATATAAATTATGTCATTTTAAGAGATAGATAGACTCAGAAAAATGAAAATCATGGGAGAGAGAAAGTGAGTGATTTTTTTAAATTTAAAATTTAAATAAAATTTGTTTTTCTGTGTCTGTCTCTCTCTTAAAAGAACAGAGTGTTATGTCATTTAAAATGACAAACACTTTTCCCTTATCTTATATATATAAAAGTATGGTAGGCCAATATTTTTTTTTTCTCTCTTTTGTCCTCACATGGATCGCACACTTTTTAATATGTGTGTAGAAAATAATCATGAGAGACACTAAATCTTATATTATTAAAGGATAAAGTATTTCTCCATTCAAGGATAAATTATCTCTAATGACTCCTAAAACTATGTCGTTTTGAATTAATGAAGGGTATTTTTATAATTTTATTTATTTATTATTATCATATGAATTTTATTGAAACACCCTTCATTAATTTTTTTAAAATTATAAAAACACCATTCGTTAGTTCAAAATAACTTAATTTTAGAGGTCAGTGAAAATAACTTATATTCGGTTATTATAGAAATACTTCACCGTTATTAAATCAAAGAATTCATTTTTCTTTAAATTTACTTATCATCACCCGCTCAGTATATATTACATCACTACTTTATCTTTGTTTATAAATACATATATTATATCGTCTCTTCTTTCAAAATATTTAAATTGACTATTCTCCACGTACTTTTTCTTTTTTCTTTTTCGATGAATATGTAAAATTGAACTACTTGTCTTTTGCCTATGTGAAATTGGATTCAAACTAGTTAGTATCTTGTGTTTTTGCATGCCTTTTTTTTATTTAAGTAAAATTTATAAAATATATATATAAATTAAAACCAAGAAGATATTTTAAATTAAAAATAAAAGAATATATGATAATAATTAAGATTGATTTTTTTTTTTGAAAATAAAGATTGAAATTATTTTAAAATATAAATAACATATAAAATTTGAATATATATATATATATATATATATATATATATATTTAAAATGAAGAATTAAGTAACTATTGATTTCAAAGTTAAAAGATTAAGATAGATTAAAAATAGTTACAATTCAAATTTCACCAACTATAATCTCCTTAAGTCTTAAACTGAGTATGTAATTATGGTATCATGAGTTAAGTATGTCATGAAGGAAAATAAAAATTGAAACTATTAGATAAATAAAATGCAAGTCAAATATAATTATTAAAATCATTTATAAATTGTAATATTCAATATCAACATCAACAACACATTTATCCCAAACTAGTTGAGGTTAGTGGTAGACGAACCCAAATAAAAAGTACGAAAAGGTTGAGAAAAAAGATAAAAAAATTTAATATATATATATATATATATATATATATATATATATATATATAACATTATCCATAAAAGAGTAGCAATAAACAATTAAAAGGTAAAATAAATTAAAATGAAATGAAAATAAAGATATATAAGAGGACAAAAGAAGTCGAAATAAAAATAAAGAAATAGAGGGACAAAAAAAAGGAAGGTAAGAAAGAAAGAGAGCGAGATAGAGAGAAAAATAACTAAAAATAGGCCATCTGAAACATAGGAAGAAAAATACAGGTCTAACCCTCCATTGTGCTAATAGTTTTTCTTCAATCTTTCCTAAGACATACCATCTGTTAATCTATATCTCACTTCATTAAGTGTTGTTTTACTACCTTTCTCTAAGTAAGTTTCGCTCTACCTTTTTCTCTCTTTGTGTCAAGCTCTTGATAACAAACTTTTGATCTTATAGGAGTATCCATGAGTCTTATCATTACGTGTCCAAACAATATCAATGTATGTTCTCTAATCGTTTCAGTCACCGGTACTACTCCTATCTTTCAGCGAATATCTTCATTTTTTATTTTATTTATCCTCGTATGACCATACATCCATCTTATCATCCTCATTTTCGCTACTTACATTGTATGCTCATGTTGCCTATGTGCTAGCCAACATTCAGCTTCGTATAACATTGCAGACCCTATGCTATTCTATAGAACTTTCCTTTTAGCCTAAGGGGAATATTGTTGTCATAGAAAAACTCATGCATTACGTCATTTCATCCACCTGCTTTAATTTTATTAGTTGCATCCTCATCCATCTCTCCACCTTTTTGCAAAATTGATCCCAGATACCTAAAACATATTTCTTGAGTATCTTTTGTCCAAGAGATGCACGGATCTTGATCTTCATTTCTTACCAGAGAAAACTCACACTTCATATACTCAGTCTTACTCCGGTTTAATGTAAAACCTTTAAACTCAAACATACTTTTCCATAATTATAGTTTTCTATCAACACCAGCATTGACCTTATCAATAAACACAATATCATCTGCAAAAAGCATATACGATGGTACTTCCTCTGTAATATCTTTTGCTAGTTCATCTGTAACTAGGGCAAAGAGATAAGGAGAACCTTGGTATATATACATATGTTGTGATAGGAAAATAACTTGATGTTCCATTATAAGCTTTCACACATGTAGTAACACCATCATATATATCCTTGATTGTATCTACATACTTTGATGATACATTTGTCTTAAGAACCCACCATAGAACCTTTCTTGAAATCTTATTGTATGCCTTCTCAAGATCTATAAACAGCATATGTAAATCCGTCTTCTTTTC